GGGGGGTGGGGGGATGGGTTAGTCTGGTGATGGGTATTAAAGAGGGCACGTTCTGCGTGGAGCACTGGGTGTTATGCACAAATAATGAATCATGGAACACTGCATCAAGAACTAATGATGTAATGTATGGTGGTTAACATAACAATAAAAAAATTTAAAGGAAAAAAAAATCCCGGTTGTAGGTGCGACCACAAGCTAGTTTCTGCGCGCTCAGCCTCACGTCTCACCAGCAGAAAAACGGACCTGGCAAGAGGCAGAGGGACAGGAGCGACGGGGCAGTCCCCGAGCCACAGGCCTTGTTGGCGCTGCCAAGCCGCTCGGGATTTAAACCCCGCACAGAAAGTGAACCTGGTAGCCGGAGCATTTAATTCTACCCCAGACACCCGGAAAGGAGTTGGAGTTGGTAATCCCAGGGCCGCTCTCACTTCCCCCTGCACTTCTGCTGCAGATATTTCTCCTCTTCTCCACCCCCAGTCCCTGAGCACTAACTCTGAGTTGTACACATTTGCTGTTTTATTCTTTTTCTTGATAAAATAATATATGCTAATTGCAGAAAAACTGAGGGCGCCTGGGTGGCTCAGTTGGTTAAGCCTCAGACTCTTGGTTTCGGCTGAGGTCATGATCTCAGGGTCCTGGGATCCAGCCCCGCACTGGGCTCCGCGCTCAGTGCGGAGTCTGCTTGAGAGTCTCTCCCTCTCCCTCTGCCCCTCCAGCTCATGTTCTCTCTCTCTCAAATAAATAAATAGATCTTAATCTTTTTTTTTTTTTTGAGGCTCAGGGGAAAGGTACAAAGAGGAGGAAAGGCTTACCTGTACTCCCTTTACCTAGGGTTCACTGCACATAACAGGTTAGTGTTCTTCCCTTGCTCTAGTGTGCCTATGCATTTTTTAAAGATAAAATTCACATATCATAACACCTTTTAAAGTACAATTCAGTCATTTTTAGGATATTCATGAATTTAACTGCCACCACTATCTAATTCCAGAACAGGTCATCAATCCAAAAAGAAGCCCTGTACCCGTATCAGTCACTCCCCATGGCCCCCTCCCAAACTGAACTGTGTCTATGGATTTGCCTATTCTGGACACGGCATATACGTGGCCTTTGTCTCTGGTTCTTTAAATTTGGCATGTTTCCAAGTTTTCTCCATGTTGTGGAGTGTCCCAGTGCCCCACTCCTTTTGATGGCCAAGTAATATTCCATTTTGTGGGTCTACTGTGTTTCTTTGATCCATCCCTCAGTTGATAGACATTTGGGTTGTTTCCACTGTTTCAGTATTATAAGTAATGCTTCTATTAACATTCATGTACAAGTTTTGTTTTCAGTTCTCTTTCGGCACACACCCAGGGTGGGATCCCTGAGTCTTATGGTAATTCTATATTTAACTTTCTCAGGAACTTTCAAACTGTTTTCCAAGACAGCTGCTCCATTTTACATTCCCACCAGCAAGACCTGAGTGTTCCAATTTTTCCACATCCTCTCCAACATGTGCTATTACCCTATAAAAAAAAATTACAGTTATCCTAGTAGGTGTGAAATGCTGTCCCATTGTGGTTTTCATTTGCATTTTCCTGGTGACTAATAAGTTTGGGCATCTTTTCATCAGCTTATGTGCCATTCGTAGATCTTTGGAGAAATGTGTTTTCAAATCTTCTGTCCATTTTTAAATTGTGTTGTCTTTTTATTGTTGACTTGTAAGAGTTCTTTGTGTATTCTGGATATTAGAGCCTTATCAGACATATGATTTGCAAATATTTTCTCCTATTCTGTGATTTTTTGAATTTTTAAAAGATTTTATTTATTTATTTATTTATTTATTTATTTATTTATTTATTTATTTATTTATTTATCAGGGAGAAAGAGTGAGCACAAGCTGGGGGAGCGGATGCAGGACTCGATCCCAGGATGCTGGGATCAAGACCTGAGCCGAAGGCAGACAGACGCTTAACCAGCTGAGCCACCCAGGTGTCCCTGTCTTTGAATTTCTTGATAGTATCCTTTGGAGCACGAAAGTTTTAATTTTAAGAGCTTTAGTTCTTTGATCCATTTTGAGTTAGTTTTTGCATATGATATGAGGGAGGGCTCCAACTTTATTTATTTATTTATTTGTTTGTTTTATTTAATTTTTGCATCTGGCTATCCAGTTGTGCCAGCACCATTTGTTAAAAAGAGTATTCTCGGGGCGCCTTCACTGGTATGTGTTTATTTACCAAAACGTGCATAAACCTGACCTCATTCACCAACACAAAACGTACAACCAGGACACACACCTACACACACACACACAAGGCCTTGGAGGAGGCTGTCAAGTACTCTGAAGGACAGGAAGGAATGAACACAGCTGGGTGGACTTTTGGTTTCACTTGCAGAGGTTTGGGAAGGACTCTGGTCCCACACACCCGGGAGGGTAGAAGGATGAGAAAGACAATAAATAGAATCCTGGGCCCAGCCTGCTTTGGTACATTACAGGTATAGCCCTGTGCATGGCCCCGGCAGCACCTGACCCTTAATGACACCAGGAGCCAGGAGGACAGAGCCTGAGCGGCTGGTGTAGGCAGGTCAGACGTGCAGCCAGAGGTCCCCTCCAAACAGCCCCCAGCGCCCCATAAGGCCAGAGGTAAGATTAGACCAGGCTCTGCAGACCCTAGCTGTTCATGTCTGAAGAAATGGTCTTTTTCCTTGTCCGAACCTTCAGGGAGCGCGAGGTGGTGCCCTCCCGCACTGGTGGCTTCCTCTTGACCACAGGCAGGCTCTGGCTGCGGCCGAGAGGCTTCTCTCGGGGCCGGCTGGGTGGCTGGGGAACTGCCTCTGTGTCTGACCAACACTCATCGTCGGTGTCGCTGTCTTGCTGGCCCCCTGCTCAGTACCCAATGGGAGGCCTGCGGCGAGGTACTTGGTCCTCCAGGTAGAGGGCATCCCGGGAGGCGGGGGCAGGGGCATCAGGGATGGAGCGCAGGTCCTGTATGGAGAAACTTCGCAGCCTTCCGGCCAGCGCACCCTGACTCTTGGTGGCAGCCTGCACAGTGGCTGAAGCAGCACTGTCGAGGCCCCATTTCCCAAAGAGGAGCGCCATCTCATAGCTGCGCTCCTTGGCCTGCGCGATGCAGGTGTCAATCTCGTTCTAGTGACAGGACAAGGATGGGTGGCCAAACTTGTGGTGAAGCAGGCCGGCCCCTTTGGTGTAAGGTGATAGCAACCACAGCACAAAGGCCATTTTGATCTCATAGCAGAAAGGCAACCAGGGAATAAAGATGTCTGTGAAGGTCTCCACGGCCATGAACAGTGCAAAGGCTATCCAGTACATCACCCACCGGACATATTCACGAATGTTCTTGGTCTTCACAGCCTTATGTAGGAAGCATAAGCTGGGTACAGCATCCCAAACACCAACACCACCAGGCGACAGATCATCCAGGACACCATCCTGCAGCCTTGGGATGAAGGGGGAACCCCCACAAGAAGATGACCAGGGGGACGCTCACGCGGGGCTGGGATGGGGTAATCAGTGGAAGTGTGGGAACCAGAGGGGCGCTCGGGCTGCCCCTTGGCAGAGGTGGAGCCCGCCGCCCCCTAACTCCGCAGTGCGCAGAGCCTGAAGAGTGGGGAGACCCATGGGCTGAGGCGAGGAGGCCGGGGCTTAGAGGATCCAACTTGGGAGCTGGTAAGGGCGGCTTTTAGAAGGGCGCCCTGCTTGTGTTCTCTCTCTTACTGTGTCTCTGTCAAATAAATAAATAAAATCTTTAAGAAAGAAGGAAAGAAAAGAGTATTCTCTCTCCACTGAATTGTCCTGGCATTCTTGTTGCAAATTAATTGCCCATAAATGTATGGGTTTATTTCTGGACTCTGAATTCTATTCCATTGATCTATAAATCTATCCTATGCCAGAACCACACTCTTGATTACTGTAGCTTTGTAGTTAATTTTGAAATAGTGAAGAATTTGTCCTTCAATTTTGTTCTTTCTTGAGTATATTGTGGCTATTCTGGGCCCCTTGAATTTCCATATGAATTTTAGGATCGGCTTGTCAATTTATGCAAAAAAGCCAGTTGGGATTTTGATGGAGATTGTATGGAATCTGGAGACCAATTTGGACAGTAATGTGACCTAAAACATCAGTAAGTCTTCCCATCCATGAACACAGGCATCTTTCCATTTATTTAGATCTTCCTTAATTTCTTTCAGTTTGTAGTTTTCATGTACAAGTCTTACATTTCCTTTATTAAATTCTTAAGTGTTTTATTCCTTCTGATGCCATTACGTATGGATTTTTAACACAGATGAGCCCTTACTATATAGGTACCATTTTGTATCTGCTTTTTTCACTTTAATTATATCGTAGATACTTCCCCCAAGTTATTCAGTCCTTCTTCAGCAACCTTTTTTAAGGCTACGTATTAGTCCATTGTACGGTTACACTAATTTATTTAGCCTTTCTCCTTTTGTGGGATATTTTGGTTCTTTACAATTTCTCCACTTTTAAATATTACTGTAATTTCTATGCATCTTGCTGTCTGCATATCAGATCATGTACATAGTCATGTACGCTTGTTCGGTCCTAATGGCCTTTATTCCCACTCTCGTGAGGAGGCGTGAGAACCATGCAACTTGGAACTCCTTGAGACCCATTTCTCTTGCAATCCCATACAATCCCCAGGACCGGGCCCGCACCCTCAAGGGGGCTCCTTCAGAAAGCTCCTCCCAGGGGCCCTGTACTGGGGCCCCAGCACTGTCCTAACCTGGCCGGAGCTCTCAGTGACATAAATGCTTGGTAACTTGTTATATCCCCACAAGATTGTGAGGCCCAACAGGACAAAGGCTGGACATTTTTATACCTCCAGCCCTTGGTCTACAGAAGACCCTTAACAAATGCTTCTGGATGAGTGAGTCAGGCAGAGCAAGGAGTTCACGACCCTAGGTCACACTAGGAAACTTGAGTCAGAGAACTGTGGCCACTAGGCTTGTGGCGTGGCTGCAAAGTGTGCCACACACAAACTGTTAGCTGGAAAGGGCCCTTGAGGTTGCCTCATTCCGGAGCTTCCAAACCTCTGCCATGACCACAGTATGATACATGGCCTTGGATAGATGGAGGGGACAGAGAGATGGAAGGGGACATGGTGGAAGCTGAAGCCGGGTCTGTGGAATTCCCTCAGCAGCCCGAAATACCACAGTAAGGCCAAGTTTGTAAAAATGATTGAACTAGCCCAATAGTCTAATTTTACAGACCAGGGAAAGAGTGCTCTTGAGAAGTGACTTGTTCAAGGTCTCACAATCAGTGGCGAATGGGAAAAGGACTCAGCTGTGACTCCCATTCACAGAACGTTCCCCTACTGAAGTAGCCTCTGAGGAGTACCTTCCAAGCATCCCATATCGCTGATGCCTCTAGAATTCCACTAAGCAAGATCCATCGTTTAAACCAGTGTCCCCATGTAGCATATATATATTTTTTAAATAATTTATTCTGCCCTCATTTTTTTTTTAATTTTTATTTATTTGACAGAGAGAGAGACAGCGAGAGAGGGAACACAAGCAGGGGGAGTGGGAGAGGGAGAAGCAGGCTTCCCGCGGAGAGGGAGCCCGAGGTGGGGCTCGATCCCAGGACCCCGGGATCATGACCTGAGCCAAAGGCAGATGCTCAACGACAGAGCCACCTAGGCGCCCCGCCAGGTAGCATATTTTTAAAAAGTAAAGTTAGGGTCGCCTGGGTGGCTCAGTTGCTTAAGCCTCAGACTCTTGATCTGGACTCAGGTCATGATCTCAGGGTGGGGAGATGGAGCCCCAGGCTGCCAGCACTGGGCGTGGAGTGTGCTTGAGATTCTCTCTCTCCCTCTGCCCCCCCCAAAATAAATTAACTAATAAAAGTAAATTTTACGGAAAAATTTGATGAAGATGAGTGTGATAAACTGAGCAATGCGACAAAGCTTTACCGGGAAATGCTGGTTTTTCTCTTTGTGGTTCCTGGGGAGGTGCGCGCTTGAGTTACCGTAAATACTGAGATAGGGAGGTGGGCGGGGGGGGGGCGGTCAGGTTTTAGTTCTTGGGTGGTTGGGCGAGGCAGGCCTAGGCACAGTTTGTGTGAATGGGGCATGGGCAACTTCTCTGCAGTTAGCGAAGTTTGCTCAGAGGAGCCTCACACCTACCAGGCAAGCGCAAGGTCCCCAGGCCCGCGCGCGATCCGGGATCCGCATCTAGCTCCGTGGCCCCGCGCCCTCCATCCCCACGCAGCGTCTCTACGGCCCCGGCCAGAGCAGGTGCTCCCGTAGTCAGGGCGCGCGTCTCCCGCATCTTCGCATCAACAGTTCCAACGGGGCAAGGGCCCGCACAGTGTTTGGTGAACCTACTGAAACCTCCCGACGACTGTCCCTGGGGCTGAGTATTCATCCCTGCAAACCACCCCCGAGGGGCTCCTCCCTCCCTACACCCCGCTCGGGCCGCCGCTGCGCGCTGCCCGGGGCTTCCTTCCCCATCTCTGGGTCCGGGACTAGCGCGGCATCCCAGCGAAAGCCGCTCTCGGCGTGCCGAGGGCCGGTCAGGACGAGTCCCTCGGCCGCCCGGGGGCTGCAGGCTGGCCGGAAGTAGAACACCGCCGAAGGCCCGAAAACGGGCGCGCGCGCGGACGAGTTTCCGCTGCAACAGTGCAATCCAGAGAGCCTCCCCGACACCTGGACTCCTGGGCCGCCTGCGCCTCTATGGTATCGGCAGCCTAGAGGGACCGACCCCGAACTTCCGGGAATATGGCGGCGCGCAGGCCGGAGGACGCACGTGTTCGCGCGGAGAGGGCTCCGCGGTGACGGTAAGCAGCTGCCGCCCCCCGGACGGTGGCAGTCGGAGACCGGGCTCAGGAGTGAAGGTGGGAGCAGGACAGTAGCCTTACCGGGTGGAACTGCGGCAGGAGGGCTGCATTTAGACCTCACGAGGCCAGGGACATAGCGGCTCTTTGGAACCGCTGTCAGCCGAGTGGCCCCGGGCCGCTTTAACATCAGAAAGCTGAGGTTGACCGGAGAGGAAGTGGTTCCAGAAAGCGCGCTCGCAGCCTTCACGAGACTGCGGCGCACAGCCTGGGGCCTCGTTGCTTCTGTCCACAGTTATCATTGTCAGGAGGTTAAAGCACCCGTGTCATAGCGACTGAGCGCGTTCTCACTCCTGCATTAAGGGCGTGGGGGTCCTGAATAAAGCCCGACTCCGATTTCCAGGGCGTGTAGTTTCGAATGAGTGCGGTGGTAAACCTTAGGTCAGGAAACACAAAGAGCTGTAAGAGGCCGAGGCGAGGGGTAATGAAGAACACCAGTGCTGGGATGCCGGAGAGCCTGGGTCCGCTACTTGCCAGCTATTGGATTTGGGCAAGGAATAAACTTCTCTGCGATTTGTTTGCAAATGTCGGTAATAACACTTCCAAATAGGCTGTCGGGAGGATGAAATAAGATGATCTGTGTAAAGCAATTAGCGGGCTGGCATCGAGTAAATGACTTAGTGTTAGATGTTATTGTTGTTTTTAAAATCTGGGGGCTGATAGATCAGAGGTGACTTCCGGGAGGAGGCCGGGTTTTGAGGTGGTCTTAAAGGCCCCAGTGTTTGAATTTTACTTTTCTTACAAATTCAAGAAGCAAGATAGAGCCACTTCTTCACTTAGTGCTTTTCTGTTAGGACTCTCAAGGTATCACGTTTTCAGGGCGCCTGGGTGGCTCAGTCGTTGAGCGTCTGCCTTTGGCTCAGGTCATGATCCCGGGGTCCTGGAATCGAGCCCCGCGTCGGGCTCCCTGCTCGGCGGGAGGCCTGCTTCTCCCTCTCCCACTCCCCCTGCTTGTGTTCCCTCTCTCGCTGTCTCTCTCTCTGTCAAATAAATAAATAAAATCTTTAAAAAAAAAAAAAAAGGTATCACGTTTTCAGGTAATCATCCCTCAACAGTAGAAATGTGAACAGAAATGTAAGTCGTCCTGAATTTGCTACTCTTCAGTCTCAGAGCCCGGCATTGTGACCCGATCGGAAGGCAGACGCTTAACCCACTGAGCCACCCGGGCGCCTTATAATAAATTATCTTAATCCAAGTTAACTTTAGTGAGCTAAATCAGCAGTGGTAGTCTTAGTTTTGTGTATCTTGTGTGATAAGCCAGCTTAACCATTTCAGAGGCAGATTTGTATGTAAGTTGGATAATGCCATTCTGGGCTCCAAAAGGCGGAGCTTCTGCACGACCATAAAGAAATGCAAGTAGTAACTGATAGGGTAGAAAGAGGCCACTTCGGAGGCAGGCAGCCTGGGCTTGTATTTCAGTTCCATCTCTTATTAGCTATGTGACCCAGGCCAGGCTTTGTTTTCTTTGTTTGTAAATTAAAGACAATAGCTGTCCACAGGACGATCAGGATTAAATAAGACAATACAACAGTATGTGTAATCAACCTGTTATGCACGAAATGCTCAGTAAGGGTGCCGTTCCTAAGCTGGACAGTTTCAAAAGGGGTGTTGTTCCAGCAAGGCTGAAGAGCGGCAGTGGGGAAGAGGTGTGGAGCCCCCACACTTGAGAGGATACAGTGCTGGAGCGTGGGTGTAAGACATGGGCTCCATTGAGTATTCTCATAACTCAGGTTGAAAACCCCTTACCTCTTTGTTTCTACATGGCATTGAATCTCAGGAGCTGTACCACGTGGTGGTAAAGAGTGGGACTCTACAGACAAGCCGTCTGGTTGAGTTCTTAAACATATTAGCTGTGTGACCCAGAGCAAGTCGCGTTTCCTCATTTGCTTTCCTGAATGGAACGTTAGGAACTCCTCCTGAGCTGGGAGAGTTAGATGAAATAATCATGTGGTGAGCTCTCCGTAAATTTAGGTGCTATTAATAACACCAGTCCTCCTTGACTTTTGGACATGCTGATGATCTCTCTGTGGTCAGACAGGGAGCTCCCCCAAAGACCAACCTCCTTCGTCTCTGCCCCGGGTTCAGAAAAGAATTTTTCTGACAGCAGTCAGGATGGATCTGATGGGTGATTTGGGCACTTTCTCCTTTTCTCTTAAAAGGACGATGATAGCGTCACCTTCTGTGGTGAGGGCTTGCGGATTGGGACTCCTCTCTCACCATGAGCATCACCCCAGAGGTCAAGAGTCGTGGGATGAAGTTTGCCGAGGAGCAGCTGCTAAAGCATGGATGGACGCAAGGTCATCCCTGGGGGGGCCCCTTCCACATCCCCCCAGCTCCCTGCCCCGCCTAGTGCCCAGGGGAGTAACGTCATCCTGGGCTACCTGTATGTAGCCCATTCAGCTGGAGGAGGAGAAGCCAGTTTAAAGGGAAATTTGTGGAAGAAAATTTCTGACTTTTCCAGAAAATGGGCGAGTGGAAGAAATTTGACAGTGGGTCGTGAGAAAGAAGGGTTTGGGAGGACTGGGGGAGGGAGGAAGGGTCATGACTTCTGTCCTGAAAGAATCATGAAGGAGACGATGGCTCGGGCTCAAAGGCAGGGACACTGCATGGACAGGCACCAGAAAGAGCGGGCTGGAGGGCACCCCCCAGGGACGGTGTAGGCCCAACGCTCGCTGTGTGGCGTGGCAAGGAGTGGCACGTGCTGGTGCCTGTGAGGGCCTGGGCCAGGCAGGAGAATAAACCACGTCACTCGTCCTCCAGGCAAAGGTCTGGGCCGGAAGGAGAATGGCATCACCCAGGCCCTCAAGGTGACACTGAAGCAGGACACTCACGGGGTAAGACTGGGCAGGCTGAGGGAGGTCCGTGTGGATGGAGAGGGGGACCCCAGGGACAGGGCAAGGACAGGTCCTTGGAGTTCATACTTCTTCCTCTGGCAGGTGGGACATGACCCTGCCGGGGAGTTCACAGACCACTGGTGGAGTGAGCTCTTCAACAAGACTGCGGCCAGCTTGGTTGTGGAAGCTGGCCAGGTACGGGGTGCTAACTGATGGGCGTGTGGACCACGAGGGCCGGGGACGTGTGGGGTGAGGGGCACACCCACGTCACCCACTCACTGATAACCCCCACAGGATGGAGTACGGATAAGGCGTCTTTCTAAGGAGACCACCGGCCATAATCATCCCAAGCCCAACATGCTGTATCAGAAGTTTGTGAAGGTATTAGGGGCTGGGGCTGAGAGGGTTCATCCTTTTTCCTTCTCTGGCCTCTCCCAGGGCCTGAACAATTGCTTCATATGCCTTACCCATTCATACCTATTCTAGGACTATCCTAACATTGTCAGATCCTGTGAGCAGCTTCGCTGTCGCTTGCTTAGACTGCCCAGACCCTTGGGCAGAATTAGACGTTCAGGTCCCATGGGTCTGAGGATGGGGGGTGGGGCACGGGCAGACGCCGCCAGAGCGGAGCGGGAGGGGAGGTCCGGTGCAAAGGACTTAGAATCCAGGGGAGACCTGACAGATTACCTGACCCATCCTCTATTTTGCAGTTGTGGCCACAAGCAGGGAAGAGTGGCTTGCAGGCAGGACTAGAATCCCAGTCTTCAGACTCGCGCTCTCTAGCACAACAGCAGAAGTGAGATCACATTCAGTGACCATCTGTTACGTGCTAAGGGCGCTCCGTGTTCTGTAGCAAGCCTTTGCCATTTCTCCTCACCTCTGTGGCCATTGCCCTCTCCTGCTGGATTTCGTTCACAGCCTCCTACCGTCTCCCCATCTGTCAGTTCACCGCCACAGCTGCCAGAGTGCTAACACATTTCACTGGGGCTCTGGCTCGCCCCTGACCGAGGATGACCATCCCGATATGTCAGACTGGCTCACAGGGCCCTGCGCCTTGTCCTGCACTCACCCCTCTCGGGGCCTCTACACTTGTAGCCAGACGGGATCGGGTTCTTTTGAAGGTACCACCTTCTTTCACCTGCAGGTTTTTGCACATGCTCTTCCCGCTGCCTGCCTGCAGCATCCTGCTGCCTTTCTCCCTTGACCTGTCCGCTTTTGGTGGTCTTCCGGAGCAGAGTTCCTGAAACGTCCCCAAACCCCGAAGTCTGATCAGTACCCCTCTTCCAGCACAGGCGACACTTTATGATTGCCCGTGTTCTGTCATCCTCCCTTCGCCCCACAGTAGGTTCTCAGTCTGCTTAGATACAAGCACCGCGGTAGGTGTGGGGGAGGACGGTGAGAAGCACCGCGGGATGACCACCAGGGGACGCCGGGAGGGCCTGGTGACCCGGAGCACTTCCCCATCCCTTCTTGGTCTGCCCACTGATGCCCCCCCCGCCCCCGCCCCACAGCTGCAGTCCACCTCTGTGGGTCTGCAGGGAGCTGTGTCGGGGGTGGCAAATTTCTGCCTGTGGCTACCAGTTCCTCAGGGGGCTTCCGGGAGGGAAGAGGGGTTGGCAGTGGTGTTGAGTGGGCTTTGTCTACCCCCCTTTGTCTACCTCCTAGGCGGCCACACTGACTTCAGGTGGGGAGAAGCCAGACAAGGACTGGGAGAGCCACAGTGACGACGACAGCCAGGGGCGCAAGCCTCCAAAGATGTGAGACTCACTTTAGTGCTGGGGGTGTGTGGGAGGAGAGGCCTTTGAATCTCAAGAGAAGGGACCAAGTTTCAGGCCTGACTGGGCTTCTTCAGGTGGAACCGTGTTGTACTAATCTTTGCTTCTCCTGCACCTAGAAAGTGCCAGGTCCTGAAAGGAAGCTCAGTGTCGAAGGGATGTTTTAGAGAGCGGGAGAGGTCAGGCCTTTGCACGAGTTGTTTGTGATTTCTGATCTCCCCCCAACAGTCTGACCGATGAGATGCTGCTCCAAGCCTGTGAGGGGCGCACAGCACACAAGTAAGTAGTGGTTAGCTCCTTGGGCTCTCTCTCCTCCCCATCACAAGCCCTTGAGGATGGTCTGTGCCCCTTCTGTACGCTTCTCCCGCCAGGGAAAGGATTCCCCGCCACACACACACCAGTGTTACCTGCAACTGCAAGGACTAGGCCTGTTTTCCCCGTACCTTGCTCTGACCTGGCCCCCCCCCCCCCCCCCCCGTTTCAGGGCCGCTCGTCTTGGGATCACAATGAAGGCTAAGCTTGCCCGGTTGGAGGCCCAGGAGCAGGCCTTCCTGGCTCGTCTCAAAGGACAGGACCCTGGGACCCCTCAATTGCAGTCTGAGAGCAAGCTCCCCAAAAAAAAGAAAAAGAAAAGGAAGCAGAGAGAGGAGAGAAAGGCTGCAGCAACTGCCGGTGCGGCAGCCGCCGGGAGTGCAGAAGAGTGGCCGGGAGGTGCGGGCCAGGCCGGCAGGGGCAGCAGGAGGAAGACGAGACAGAAGCGAGAAGCAGCGGTGGCAGATGGGTGGGAGGGAGTGGCTGCCGGGGACGGAGACGGAGAGACCGCAGGAGTGGGTGGGTCTGGAGAGCGGGAGAGCAGGGAGCAGGCCGCCCCGCCCCGCAGGAAGACGAAGAGGCAGCACCGCGCAGAGACGGCGGTCCCGGACGGAGGGGCAGGAGGCCAGGAGGCTGCGGCCAGGGCCGGGACGGGGCAGGGGGAGAGTCAGGCACGCGCCAAGCCCTGCCACAGACGCAAGAGGTGGCGGCAGCCGGAGGAGGGCGGCTTAAACACAGAAGCAGCAGTGGCGGGGGCTGCTGCAGATGGTGGGGCTGGGGAAGCAGCAAGCAGAGTGCACCGTGAGGGGAAAAGCAAGAAGAAAAGACGGAGGTCCCGGGAAGAGGAGCAGGATGTGAGGGATGAAGGGGATGAGGGCGGCGGGACTAGGGAGGCGGAGAGCGGGTTGCACACCGGCTCAAGCAGCACAGATAAGAGGTGGCAGCAGGCAAGGGCTGGAGTCGGCCCCGACCAGAGAGCAAGAAAGAAGAAACAGAAGACAGCCTGAAGGTCAAGTCAAGGTGGGACTCCACGGACTCCTTTGGAAGAGTTGAAGCCTCAGACCTGAGTTGACAGGGTCTCCTGCACCCTTGCAGTGAGGAGCCCCTCCCAAGGAGGAAGCTGACCTCTGAACTCCAGCTGCACAGAGGTGGGTGTGGACAGTGTGGACAGAGAGCGAGAGTTCAGGTGCCCGTGGGAGCCAGGCAGTGGCGGGATGCAGACACCCTCTGGAGGGACATGCCACCTGCAAATGCGGCCGGTGTGAGATGGCATCCAGCCCACAGGCCGCCGGCCCCAGCCTTAGAGTAAACGATTCAACATCAGCTCGGGCTCCTAGCCTGTGTGTAAGTCCTGACTGGCATCTCCACTCCCGGCCTGGGAACATCCCAAATACAAACTAGTTTCCTTGGATGCCTCCAAAGAAATTCCTTCAGTTAACCTCCCCTAGTCTTGCTACCCTGTTGAGGGGAAGGGGAAAGCTCAGAGAACCTCACTTGAGAGCTTTTTTCCGTGTCTGAAAATGGTTTTCATTTGCCCAAATGTCACAGCCGCCCCCCTTGCCCGTTCTGTTCTCCCGGAGAGGTAGCGCTGTGTCTGCCGTGTTGCTCCCTGGCTCCTGCCACCCCTTAACCTTTACTGCCAGGAAAGCTCCCAGGACTCCGCAGCTCGGGAGAGGGGCACTAAGTCTTTATTGGGACGAAAGCCCACCCCTCTTCCCTCACTGCAGACGGTAGACACACTCAGTGTCGGGGTAGGGCGGCAGATTCAGCTGGTACTTCTGTTCCAGAGCAGGTGGCACAAAACGACCTCCTAGGTAGTGGTAGCGACCGGTGAACTGGGTGGCAGACTTTTTGGGTGCTGTCAGGGAGATGAGCAAGTCCGGCTGGATCCCTCCAGAGTTCCCCTTCTCCACATCCCATCCTGGAAAGAGGGTGGTTTTCAGGAAGAGAGGAAGAAGTCTACTTCTCTTCCATACCCTGCTCTACCCTAGTCCTGAAGGAATGGGAGGCCCTCTGTGTCCCCTCCCAAGGAACTTGCATCCTCGAAGCTCCATGTACTCCTGGGCTTTGGTCTCTTGGATCCAACATATAACGGGAGTCCTGAACTCTGCTCCCCTGCCCTTTTGTGGAATCCATAAAGCTGTGTTCTGCCCCTCTAGACTCAACTTACTTTAAGCTTGGTCTAAGCCTTGGGTCGACAATAAGGACTCCTAGGTACTTGTTTCAAGACAGGGCAGGGTCCCAGCCCCAATTCTGCCCCCCAACTTCCTTGGACCCAACACCTGACGGAATGTCGATGCTTGCAATGGGCACCGTGAGCCCATTCAGGACACCCAGGATGCCACGGAACGGCTCCCGAACATCGCCTTTGAAGCTGAAGCCAAAGATGGCATCCACGACCAGCTCGTACAATTCGTCGATCAGCATGGGCTGTGGTGGGGCAGAAGGAGGGGAAAGCATGTCAGAGCCAGCAGCTGCACAGACGGCCCTTAATAAGAGACAACGATCCTTTGCACGCGCCACTCACAGAGGCACAAATATCATTTCATCTCATTCAGATGAAATGTCTAGGCATTCTGGGGCCTAGACTTCAATGCAGGTTGGTCACTGATTTAGGGCAAGCTGAGTCCAGACACGCTTTCTGTTCTGAGTGCCTGCCTGCCACTGGGGAGGTACAGTGTGGGACTCCTGCCTAAGGCTGAAAGTTAGGACAAACCACTTGCCTTCTCTGCACCATCCCAGTCTCTCTATGTGTAGAATGTGTTAAACTTAACACAAAGTTCTCATTTCCCATCCTTAAGTCCCTGTTCCTGCAGAAAGGGTTTAGGATGAGGCAGTCATTTCAGCCCCTGAAAGGAGTGGCTAGCGTGTTTACTGCTTACAGGACAGGTCCTGACCTCAGGGAGAAAGGAGTGACTGTGGAAGTGAAGGGGGCAGGGGCTCCCCGCTACTCATACGGCACAGTTCAGGCACTCCCCCCCGCCCCACAACTGTTAAGAGTCCACCCTCCAGAGAGGAAGATCAGCAAGTGAGCTCGGCCTGGGAACACGAGGAAGAGCAGGACACAGGCGGTGGTTGGGGGAGGAGGAGGGCACCCCCACTGGAGCCACCTACCTCTGGGGGCATTTCACCAAGGAAAGGGATGTCCATTTTCTGACACTGGGTCACCAGTGCGGTGAAGAGTGGCTTGTTCGGCCTTTTGGGATAATAAATGGTTGGCTGGTAGCCCTAGAGGAAAGGAGAGTGGTCGTCCAAGCCCGGATCCCGGAAGCCCCGCCGCCCCCGCCCCCGCCCACATACTCACGAAGAGTTTGAGGTGCCGCGCACAGACCAGGCCGTCTCCTCCGTTATTCCCGGGCCCGCAGATGACCAGGACCGCGGGGGGGTTCCGGGACATGGACGTGGGGGGATAGGCCTGGAGGCAGGGTCAGAGGGCAGTCAGAGGGGCTCTGGGCGGCCCCGGGCCACCCTGGCCCGCTGTCCCCGCCACTCGTCCGTGCCCAGGCCACTGACCTTAGCAATGGCTGTGGCGCAGCTCAGCCCAGCCAGCTCCATTAGTTGATCCACGCTGAACTGGTACTCGTTAAACAGCTCCTCGTCCACGGCCTGGGCCTCCTCCTGGCTGCGGACACCCACAGCCTCAGTCCCGGCGCCCTGCGCGCGGCCCGTCCCAGCTCCCGCCCCCGAGCGAGCCCGTCCAAGCCTCGCCTACCTCAGGTACTTCACTGCCGGGCTCGCCATGCCCGCCGGCTCCCCGGGGCCGCCCGAGTGCGGCCGCCGCGTCCCCCACCACGCGGGCCCGGCGCGGCAGGAGCCGGTCTGGCCCGGGACGCGCCGCAGCTGCGAGCCCGCGGCCAGCAACCCGAAACCCAACAGCGCCCGCAGCGCGGACATGGAGCTCGCCCGGCGCATGTGCGGCGCCCGCTCCGCGCCCTGAAGGCGGGGCCGCGGCCTCGCCCTGCCCATTCGCGAGAGCGCGGACGCCGGGCCGCGCATTCCGGGGGGGCGGGGTCCCTCGCTGCCCGTCACGTGGGTGGTAATAGTTCCTCGGGCGCGATTGACCCCTTCGCGGGCCTGATGGCGGGGCAGGCAGCCCGGGTTCCTGCCCGGGCACTTCGCGGCTGAATGGACGGGGGCACCCCTGGTCTCGGCGTCCTGCGAGCACGCGATTCACGGGTGCCCGCGCTTGCAGAGCCGGCCCAGCGCCCGCGAGCAACGCGCGGGAGCGGAGCTCGCGTCTCGTTTACGCTGCCGGCGGTTCCGCGCTCAGGCTGGGGCGCTCCCGGTGCACGGTCCATGCTAGAGGGACGAGCGGGGGCGGGGAGAGGAGGGGTGGCTTTATTCAGGAAGCGGGCGACCTGGGAACAGGGTGGACGAACACCTCAAAGCCCATCTTCTTCTTCTTTTTTAAAGATTTTATTTATTTTTTGACAGAGAGAGAGAGACAGCGAGAGAGGGAACACAAGCAGGGGGAGTGGGAGAGGGAAAAGCAGGCTTCCCTGCTGAGCAAGGAGCCTGGGATCATGACCTGAGCGGAAGGCAGACGCTAAACGGCTGAGCCACCCAGGCGCCCCCCCTCAAAGCCCATCTTCGATCCGGGCGAGGCCTGAGGGTTTTGAAGGGGAGGGCGCCAGAAATGTGGGGGCTCGGTGCGGGAGAAGCTGGTGCCCAGGCGGTTAATCGTTGGTGCACATGACCCTGAGCAGGCTTAGTGTTCCGGAGAGTCTGGTCCTTCGCTCCTCAAGGAAAGGTGTTCTGCTACAGACTAAGGGACTCAGGTCAGCAAGCAAGGAGTGCAGAAGCTTGAAATAAGTTAACCGTAAGACTGGTTGGACTGCTGTTGACAGTGTAATTTAGGACCCCTGTCCCAAGTACATTAGCTGCCTCCACCTACCTCTGCTTACCAGGATAGCATGCTGCATTTCCCCGATCGTAATATTTACCGCCCCTTTATCAAGATCATAGCTATGGTGGGGCGCCTGGCTGGCTCAGTGGGAGGAGCATGCGGCTGGTGATCTCCAGGTCGTGAATTTGAGCCCCACCTTGGGTGTAGAGATTACTTTTATTTTGCTTATTTCTTTTAACGATTTTACTTTTAACTCACAACCCTGAGATCAAGAGTCACACGCTCTTTGGACTGAGCCAGCCAGGCGCCCCTAGGTAGCTTTACTTACGTATATTTACTAGTCAAGTCAAGATTCCCCCCTATAGACCTATTAATTTGGAGAGATTCTGAAGATTCTTTTTTTTTAATCTCTACACCCAACATGGGGCTTGAACTCAAGACCCCGAGATCAAGAGCCAAACACTTTTCTGACTGAGCCATCCAGGCACCCCCTGAAGATTCATTTCTAAAACACAGTGTGAAGCATGTTCTTTGAGCATGTGCCACATGCTAGCATGAATCAGCTCATTTTATCCTTGTGGCAACCGTGTTATTATTCTCATTTTACAGAGGAGGAAACTAAGGCTCCAAGATGTTGACTGGCATGCCCAATGATACAGTGATAGCTGTCCGTGGAGCTAGGATCCAAGCAGCTTGAGCTAGAAAGCAGCATTCCGAAAGGTACTGCCCTCTGCAAGTGCAGAAATAAGTAAAGCATGGTCACTGCTGGCTTCCTTCTGATGAGATGTAAGAATAAAATAGTGACACACACATACCCCAACACATGCCCCCAGAAGTTATAAGACAACCACCGGAGGGCTGTCTCCAGGAAGGTGGAGCTGAAGACCTACTCCATCTTATCACTGCCTTTCAGACTTGTAGAGTTTCTTTGGGAAATGCCTTTAAAACCAATTTAGGAAGGACATAGGGATCGAGCCCCTGCTGAATTCCAGATGCTTACATATTTCATCCTGTCAATCCTATGACGTAGTTTTATCCTCACATTATAGCACAGAGAGGTCATTTTCCGAAGATCAAATAGCTATTAAATGGTAGAGCCAGGGACGGTTGATACGGAGTTGGCCTGACCCAGTGGCAATATTCCCATGTGGTAGGTGCTGCTACCTGTTCCTCAAAATCCATTCTCTTCCTTTGGCAACAGAACCCCTGAGTTGTATCTGGCGACGTGGCTGCCCAGCCAAACACTACATTTCCCACTCTCCCTTGCAGCAGCAAGGCACCTACATGTGACTACACGCTGGCCAATGAGGGCTGAGCAGAGGTGATGTGCAACTGCCTGGTCCTCCCTTTGAAAAAAGGCTTGTTTGCTTGTACTTCCTCTTTCCCTCTTCCCGGCTGGAAGGAAGGCGCTCTGCCGTGGGCGGGCAGCCATTTTAGACCAGGGTGTGGGAATCCTTGTCAAAGGCGGCAGAGCGCCCTGCGGACTCCCTGGGCTCCGTGAGCCGGGGCTGCTTTCATGAAAGAGGAACAGAGCTGTCTCTGCTTAAAGGCAGGGTTACGTTGGCCTCTCTTACAGCAGGTGAACCTGCATCCCAGTCAAGACATTTTGAATGCCTGACACGATGCTAATAAGGAAGGTGAGCAGCTGCGCCCCCGGCTGCCAGTTCCATGCTCGGCACATGCTAGGTCCTCAAGATCTCAGGGTGAAGTTGTTCACGGTGTAGTGGAAGCCCTCTTCTACTATGGGGAATGGGGTATTTTATTTCAACTTAAAAATGCATCCATTTGCCATCTGTCAAAGTGCGGCCAGGGTCTTCTCTTTGAGCCCGGGGCTGGAGCTCTCCATCCTTCCTCATGAACCTCATTACGGGTCACCTGCAATTTCCAGTTTGCTTCCTTGAGGTGGAACAGTTAATGGTGTGTTTGAAGCAATCCAAGTGCAAAAATTCGTCTAGATTTTTACTATTTTGCCCCAAAATGTGATAATCGCCTTGCTCACATCTAATTCAACAGTTTTTGAATTGACTCACCCTAATCAAGACTTCCAAGGATTCAACTTCGTTTTCATACAAACAGTGCCTGTTTTCACACTTAGTTCATCAATTTATGTAATATTTAATCAAATCACGAACTACAAGAACACATACACCCAGCATAAGCACATTTGGTACCAACACAATCGACTCCTGATAAGCATTAGCGTAAGTGGGGTAGCAGGGCTGCACGGCATTCTAGAAGGTGCTCCCTGCCCGGGTTTGAAGCCCCGGCTTCCCCACTTACTAGTTGTGTGGCCGGGGAGGACACACTCATTTTCCTTGTCTGTGAAAGGGGCTCATCTGCTGTGAGGACTGCAGGAGAAAACACTTGGGAAGCGCTCAGAGCAGAGTGTGGTGTGCGCTGAGTGATTAGCACATCTTACAAAATGTGGCCGCTGACAGCAGCGACCGACAGGCCTGAGGGGCTGCCTCCCCAACCCGCAACTTTCATGGAGGCGGTGGAGTCCATCAGTGGGCTAAGATGTGTCCTCTGTAGTTTAGATCCCCATTTCCCCTTTGAGAAGATGGAGGTCTGGAGACAGTCCGTGATGGCAGCTTCCCGACCAAGATGTCACAGCTTTTAGAACTGGAAAGGGCCTCAGCAATCATGAGGTCTGGATCCAGAAGGAAGAAAGGGAAATTCACTGTCCATTTTCCCCTTTTTCTTTTGCCCGTTGAGTCCAAAACTCCCAACAAGGAGCAAACTGAACACCTCAGCGCCCAGACTGCAAAGACCCTGTTCAGCTGACACAGGAGTGCACGTGCTGGTGGTGTTACATTCTGTGTCCATAGGGCACTGAACAACCGGGAAGAGGCTTGATCCCAGAAACCCCTAACGTTTGTGTGTTGGGGGGGTCACACAGAGGCCATATTCAGGGCCAGCAGAGTGGGGTCACATGATCACACAGAAGCCAGACTCCGTGGGTCTCCTCTGAGGGTTTCTGCAAGGGGTTTCCCTGGGCCAGCTGGACGACCTGTGGGAGGCAGGGAGGGGCTTGCCAGTGGGGTGGCTGGGGAGAGAGCAGAGGGCAGCCTGCTCTCGCTGCAGGTCTGTTGCCCTCCCTGGCCCTCTTCTCGGCTGCTGGGCCCCAAGGCAGGAGAGGGAGGCTTGAGCGCGCGCTCCCACCCCTGGCCCTGTTCAGTTCAGCAGGATTCTCCCTCTCTGGGAAGCCTCCAGTCAGGCTGTGCAGGAGACAGCAGACGCCACAGGCTTCCAGAGCTGGGTGAGCATTGTTCATATTGTTCAAGGCCAAAGACAGAGAGGCTCCAAACACTAGACCCACAAGTACTGGGCCACATCTTGCCCCGGTTTGAACGGTGATCATGATCATGTTCCATTAAAACCATCCAAAGCCACATTCTCTCCTACCCCTTTTGTCCATTCTCAAGGCCTCTTCCCCTCCCCCAGGGACCCACCTATTGGCTTTGGGGCCACTGGGTACTGGAATGCCAGGTTGCTCCATTTGGAGGGGGCCTTGGCCTCCAAGCAGGAGATGGGCCCCAGGTCCTGGACCTGGATGGAGAGAGACAGTCACATTTATCACAGGCCTCTCCGCACCAAGAATCACACGGTGGAAAGAGAAAGCTTGGGAGAAGAGCAAGGATGGTGGGTGCTGGGATGCGTGCCCTGGTCACTGACACGGAGGTTGCACCAAAGCCAACACTCTGTACGGGACAGGTGTTTAACTGCAACTCTCTGCTGCCTGGAGACGAACACACTATAAACCAAACAGGGAATTCCAGTCTGAATAGCAAGTAGCCAGGGGCTCTGCCCCCAGAGGTTGAAGCCTCTGGGGGGAGCTGGTAAACAGTGAGCTAGGGCAAGATCAGCACCCAGTACCTGGCAGTAGGCTTTCAATAAAACTTGGTGCTCTAAGATGCACAGTTCTAGAGGCTAAGAAAGCCGTGCAAACCAGGAGGAGAGGTGACTGTGGAAGGGTTCGGGGAAACTGGCCAGGGTCTCGAGACCTGAACGTACACTCGCGGATACACCCCTAGCCAGTTCCCTTTGCTCCCCACCATTCCCAGACTTCAGTGCTGGGGAGGCCCCAGGCGCCAGGTGCAGCCAGGCCCCCAGCCAGGGCGGGAAGGGGCAGAGCAGAAGTGCTGCACAGGTGAGTGGGGGTGGGGCTGGGGCTCCAGGGTCGGGGGGGTACACGCTGGAGGTGTGCAGCCACCGGGTGGGAGAGGGCTGGTCGGCCTCAGTGGCAGACCGGGGCAGGGGCCTCTGGAAGGTGTTGGGGGAATGCTCCCATTTTCAGGGAGGAGATGCACAGTTGGGGTCGGCCTGCTCCCGCTCACACTCCAGTCTCTGTGCCCAAGACACCACGGGGACATCGGGTGGCGGCTGGTCCTCTCTCTCCTCCTGGCCCTCCATGCACTCTTCTTCTTCCCACACACGCGAAGACCTAGAGGGGTGGGGAGCAGGGGACAGAGCAGCACTGGGCCAGCCACCTCCTCCCTGGGGTACCTGCAGGCCCCACCCCACCCCCACCCGGTGGCTGCACACCTCCAGCGTGTATCCCCCCCCCCCGACCCTGGAGCCCCAGCCCCACCCCCCACTCACCTGTGCAGCACTTCTGCTCTGCCCCTTCCCGCCCTGGCTGGGGGCCTGGCTGCACCTGGAGCCTGGGGCCTCCCCAGCGCTGAAGTCTGGGAATGGTGGGGAGCAAAGGGAACCGGCTAGGGGTGTATCCGCGAGTGTACGTTCTCTGCACAGGCTATGGCCCCACAGAGACACAGAAGTGCTATGGGCAGCCTGGGGCGTGCCACCCATCTGAGAGTGGAAATCCGTGGTGAGGTCTCTGCTAGTGACTCTCAAGTTAGAACCAGGCTCCCGACTATCAGGCCTGGCCAGAGCCCAGCCTCCACCCCACCCTGCCTGGGGCCTCCACGGGCAAAGTCCCAGAAAGTTGGTGGCCGCCAGTCCTCTGCCTGGACCAGACTAACTTAATTTTGCTCACAAATTATAAATACAATGTCCTGGTCTTCAAGAGAAGACATAAACCCCATTAAATAAGTAGAATAAATATTAAAGTATAATTTTAATTCCTGGGTGGGAGGTTGGTTGCCTGAGGGTATCTCAGGGTGTGAGGCACAGGACCTGCAGAGAGGCTGGGAGCCAGAGAGAGGCTGGGGGGAGCCAGAGAGGGAGGGGGCGGTGGAGACCCACGGAGAAGCGCCCCCAGCCAGGGCGGCCAGAAGAGGAACCTCGCTGGAGCACTGCCCCCACCCTGTGGCCTTTTGGAGAACTGCAGCCAAGGACGGGCCGGTTTCCGCCTCCTCCGCGCGGTAGGGCTCAGCATCCTTGATTGCATCTCTGTGCTCAACTGCTGGGCTCGTTACCACCCAGGCAAAGGCCTGGCACAGCCTAGCGCTGGGAGACAGGCCAGAATGCCCACCTTCCCACCCCCGGTGTCCTCGGAAAAGTGATCTGTGTCCCCTACGCGGGCTCCGGGGCAGACGAACACACGGGCCAGTGCAGCATCCCTGAGGGGTCACCTCTCCACACTCCCAGCTCCCTGTCTGAGGGGTCACCTCACCAGGGTGTACGTGGGGACAAGCCCGGCCTGGGCCAAGTGGGTCCTCATGGCGTCTGCCAGCTTGGCCACCAGTCGATCCCGCACAGAGTCCGGCTCCTTCTGGGGAGAGGGCGGATGATGGGGGGATGGGGAAGGTCTGGGCTAAGCGGTCCTCTGGGATTGGGGAAGCAAGAAACTGGAGAGGGAGGAGGGAAGGGGGCTTTGTCTTCCTTTCTTTTCTACCCCCTCCCCGCGTCCTTGTCAGGATCCTGCTACCACCTGCCCAGAACCGTGAAGAGACAAGCTCTTCCTCACAACAGTGTGCCCGACGCGTGTGTGGTGCGTGGACGGAGGGCAAGGAGAAGACAGAAGGCAGGAGAGTCGGCAGACGAGGCCTCCTGGAAGCGAGGTAGGAAGAGTTAGGTTCTGGGATGGGGGGTCTCACCTGACTCCGGGCCAGCGCTTCCTTATAGTACCGCAAGGCCTGGTCGTGCTGCCCCAGTCTGGCTGCCGCAGCGCCCAGCCCCTCGCAGGCCTGCCACCGCCCCTTCGTGTCCCCTGGGGAAGGGGGCCCGGGAGGTCCTCTCATGGGGGTCCCCGCACCACTGACCCTCCCTTCCAGAGGTCTCGCCACCAGTCCCCGGGACCCTCGGCCTGGCCCCCTTGCCAAGCCACCTGCCAAGCCCTCACCGGTGTCCCGGGCGGCCTGTAGGGCGTGCAGATAGCTGTCCCGGGCTGCTCCGTGGTCCCCCAGCTGGCTCAGTGCAAATGCTAGGCTGCCGAAGCTCCAGCCCTGCTCCCGCCGCTGCCCCACAGAGCCTGATGGCAGAGGGGACCCTGGCTGCTGAGGCGTCCCCCAGCAACCAGGGCGGGCTCCCAGGAGTCCTGGCGCTTAGCCCCAGCACGCCTCCAGATGCACCCCGGAGACCTCAGCTCTCAAAAACCAGCCTCTCCTCAGGCCTGAGTTTGGGCATGAACGCGTCTCCCCCACCCCCACCCCCGGCTGGCTGGAGCCGTGCGACAACCCGGTGAGGCAGGCAGGGCAGGTATCGATGGCTCCCTGCTTACCTGGGTGGGAACCGAAGCTCGGAAAGCCGAAACCACTCGCTGAATGTCACACGACCATTCAGTCGGAGGAGCCCTGCTCTCCCGGCTGGGGCTCTTCCCAGTGCCCACTGCCCCCTTCCCAACCACAGGCCTCGGCCTCTGGGCCCTCACCCCCCTGTCCTGTCTGCCTACCCCCTCTCCTGCACCCCCAGGCCTCACCGCCTGGTTCTGGGCTTTCCGGCCCCATACCCTGTCCTAAAGGTCTGTCCACTCTTCCGCCTCGAGCCCCAGCTGGAGCCCTTCTGAATCCCCTATCCCATTCCCCAGGCGCTGGTACCCACCGTGCAGGTCAGCGGCCCTCTGGTGAAGGTCCCGGGCTTCCTGATAGTTGCCGAGGGCACTGTGGGCCGTCCCGAGGTTTCTCAGCACCGTGGCCTCCTCTCCTGGCCCCCGGCACAGGGGCAGGGCCCGCAGGAAGGCCTCTGCTGCTAGCGGGAACAGTCGGAGCTGGGAGTAGGTCAGGCCGAGGTCGTTATAGAGCTGCCCTGGAGGGCATGGCCAGGGTCACCGGTAGCCAGGTCAGATGCTGCTGATGCTGTATTGGTATAGCCCCTGTCCCACTCTCCTGGGGCCCTCCACCCCTTTCCCCTGCACCCCACCTCTCAGAGCATCACCTGGGCTGAATATCCCCAGACCCCATGCCTCCTCTGCCCAAGGGCCTCACCCAGCAGTCCCCGCTCAGGGCTCCTCTCGGCAAGCCTCTGGCTCTCCTCCAGCACCTGCAGCACTTCAGCCACCCCATGCTGCCCGCTCTCCAGCATACACCCTGCCACAGCCCCCGCGGCCAGGGCTGCAGCCTGGGGCTGCCCTGCTTGGGCATAGGCCCGGCTAGCCTCCTGCAGACAGTGGACTGCTAGCTCAGGCTGTCCCAGAGCCTGGTAGCAGGCTCCCATTTTTGCCTGGGCTTGCCCCTCGTCACCGAGTGGCCGGTAGTGACCCAGGGCCCTGTGGTACCAAGCCAAAGCTTGAGGCAGTTTGCCCAGGGCCTGGTAGGCCAAAGCCACGTTGAAACACTGGTCGCCATGACACCCGCCCTGCGCCTTCTCTTGAGGTTGGGCTCGCAGGAGCAGCTCAAGGCCTCTGGCTGGGTCCCCAGTCTCCACGTAGGCGGCCCCCAGGTTGAAGGCACAGGCCCGGAGAACAGGGGTGTCCCGAGTTTGTGGGGCCTCAGAGGCCAGGATGAAGGCCCTCTGGAAGCTGGTCAAAGCTTCGTGGTTCCGGCCAGCCAGTAGGGCTCCGTGGCCAGCCCTGGTGAGGGCTTGGATGCTGGCCTCTTGCTGTGGCTGCTTTCTCTTCTTTTTCTTCTTGGAGGTTGAGGGCTCAGGCTCAGGCTCTTGGGGGGCATCCTCAGGGTTGGAGAAAGACATAGTGCTGACAATGGGGAGCAGAGGGGTCACTATGTCACCCTTGGCTTCCTCCAAAGCAGGATCCCTCCAGGGTTATTCAGCCCCACCCCTGCCCTGTTGTGACCCCAGGGTTTCAAGGACTTCTCTCTGCAATCTTCCTTTGCTTCATCAATCCCCCTGGGGCCGTATCAACCCTTACTCCAATGTCCCAACTCATTCTTAGTCCTTTGGGACCCAGTTCAAGTAACAGCGCCCTCCAGAGAGCCTCCTCCCTCAACCACCTGGGTCCTTCTGGACTCCCAGAGCACCTATGCCCCTGTCTTTCACAGCACTGATCATGCCAGGTTAAAGTTGCTGACTTTCTGGTCTATCTCCTCTCCTAGATCTGGAGCAGCGTGAAGGGGCTGGCACATAGTAGGTCCCCCATAAGTGTTCATCGAATGAGACGGACACAATGATGCAAGTGTACCTAAAGCCACTGAGCTGTGCACTTAGAAATGGCTTAGCAAGGTGAAAGTCATGTTATATATATATGTTACCACAATTTAAAAAATCCTCACTGAAGGAATAAATGAATAGACAGATGAACAGAGTATGCAGGGCCTCTCTCCATCACCTCCTTCACACTGTTCCTCCACAGACACCCATCCACTCACAAGGATGGGTGCTCCTGCTGCCTGATCCCAAGGTGTAGATCAAGGCAGTTGAGCAGACACTCTGGTGAGCACCTGCTGTATACCAGGAGCCACAGGGCACTAGGGACACAGAGCTGAACAGGCTATTGAATTGGCAAGGAGTCAGCTTGGCAAGGAGGATGCTGTCTCTCCATTCACTGCCCACGCCCTATCTCAGGGGACCTCTTTCTCCATGGCTGGCTAGTTCTGGTCCCCCAGCACCCTGCTCTGGTCTCAAATATGCTTTTCCCCATTAAGATCTCTCCCCTGGAAAGGAAAAGTCTTTTCCTGAACTCTCCTCCCAGGAACTGGGGAAAGAGGTGGCAAAGACTCAGGCCTGGGCTCTCAGCCCCTCCCCCTTTCCTTCGTCCTTCCCCTCTTTTTTAGGAGAGGCAGGAAGAGGTGATTCTCTTTTTAAAGAAATTCCCCCTGCAACTAAGAACACCTAGGAATCTTGCCTTCAAGGCCCTCATCCCTGGGGCATTCCTAGCTACCCCCACCAGGCCTTGGGGCCCCAGCCGCAGGATGCCTTACCTCCCTCGATCTTCTCTGCCGCTGGCTTTCTGGAATGGGCCCTCTGGCTTGGGTTACCTCGCCAAGCTCTGAGCTCAGAGCCCTGGAGTTACCAGACAACCAGGTGCTGCCCTCCACTCCTAGGAATTTTTTGACGGACAGCTCAGGCGCCCTATCTTAGTGCTGCACCACTGGCCGTGGTTGGCAGTTACCTGGATTCCATCGCCCTTCCTGCCCCCACTTCCCCTCACCGCTGCGCACCTCTCAGGCCCCCACTGAAAGCAAGGAATCAAAGCGTGATGGCTTGTTACCAGTTACAACCTCAGGGATCGTCTGTCCCATACCCTCATTCTATGGAGGAGGGGACCAGGCTCAGAAAGCAGGTGGGACCTGATGAGATCACAGAGCAGAGGTGTAGCTGGGATCAGACCCCCGGCTTTCTGATTCTAGGCTAATTAGCCTAGGGTTCCTTCCACTGCACTGTGGTTGCAAACTTTAATGAGGCCTGGGCGGTCCTAGATGTTAACGCTTCCACACACACAGACACACGTACGTGCGTGCACACACACACCTACGCACTATGCTTCGGTGGGGTACATTTCACATTTGGGAGCAGGGTTGAGGTTGGTGGTCATCAGAAGAGTCTCTTGGCTCCTGAATCCTTTCCCCGGCTCTGCTGATCCACAACCTCCACGCTCTGCTTGATGAGAGGCGAGCAGGCCCCAGGACGATGGGCACCTACGGCGCTAACTCACGAAGGGTGGCCTGCAGCACAGAGCAAATGTCCTCATTTACCGGCGGAGAGGTCTCTTTTAAGTAAGGAGGCCTTTGCCAGAAACAAAATTACAAGGAGGGGGGCGCCTGGGTGGCTCAGATGGTTAAGCGTCTGCCTTCAGCTCAGGTCATGATCCCGGGGTCCTGGGATCGAGCCCCGTGTCAGGCTCCTTGCTCGGCAGGAAGCCTGATTCTCCCTCTCCCTCTGCCTCTCCCCGCTGCATGCTCTCTCTCTCTCTGTATCTCTGTGTCTCAAATGAATAAATAATAATAATAAAAAAATTACAAGGAAGTCGCTAGACCCCCCTGCACTGGGCAGCCTTTGCTGAGGGCCTGCCGTGGGCCCCTACTGCGCTGGGTGCCACCGACAGGGCCCACGGCCGAGGTGGGCTTTCTCAGCTGCCCACGGGCTGGCCTCCAGGACACCACCAGAGCCTGGCCAGGGCCGGGCAGCTCAGCCCATGGCCACTCAGCAGCCTTCCCTTAAAGGGAGAGGTTTGGGGGGCGGGCAGGGACTGAAACTCTGCTCTCGCCAAGTTCCGCGGACCTCTCAGTGACCTGGGGATCCTTTCTGAGTCATCTGCTTGTTTGATTCCCACTTTATTTATTTTTGTTTAAAGATTTTATTTACCATTTGCAACGACGTGGTTGGAACTGGAGGGTGTTATGCTGAGTGAAATAAGTCAGTCAGAGAAAGACATGTATCCTATGACCTCACTGATATGAGGACTTCTTAATCTCAGGAAACAAACTGAGGGTTGCTGGAGTGGTGGGGGGTGGGAGGGAGGGGCTGGGTGATAGACATTGGGGAGGGTATGTGCTATGGTGAGCGCTGTGAATTGTGCAAGACTGTTGAATCACGGATCTGTACCTCTGAAACAAATAATGCAATATATGTTAAGAAAAAAAAAAAGAAGAAGATAGCAGGAGGGGAAGAATGAAGGGGAGTAAGTCGGAGGGGGAGACGAATCATGAGAGATGATGGACTCTGAAAAACAAACTGAGGGTTCTAGAGGGGAGGGGGTGGGGGGATGGGTTAGCCTGGTGTTGGGTATTAAGGAGGGCACGTTCTGCGTGGAGCACTGGGTGTTATGCACAAACAATGAATCATGGAACACTACATCAAAAGCTAATGATGTAATGTATGGTGATTAACATAACAATAAAAAATTTTTAAAGGAGATTTTATTTATTTATTTGACAGAGAGAGACACAGCGAGAGCAGGAACACAAGCAGGGGGAGGGGGAGAGGGAGAAGCAGGCCCCCCGCCAAGCAGGGAGCCCGATGTGGGGCTCGATCCCAGGACCCTGGGATCACGACCTGAGCCGAAGGCAGACGCTTAACGACTGAGCCCCCCAGGCGCCCCTGATTCCCACTTTAGGTGACGTACCTTGCTACTGTCTCCTCACTTGGCTTCCAGGCTCCACTGTGTCCTGGCCCCTTTTCTTCCCCGTCCCCTTTGCTGGGCCCTCTGTCCACCGCTTGAACACAAACAATCCCCACCCCTCTGCCCTTCGCTCTCTTCTTACTTTACAGACACTTCCACGAACCTTCCATCCACTGCTCTGATTTTCCCACCACTCATAAGCCAGTCATTTCTAAATGTAGATTCTAGACTTGGCTTGTCCACGTGAAATTCCCGTTTCCCCCCATCTACCCATCCCCTGTCCCCGGTGTTAGCTGGTCCACCACCAACCCGGTCTGTCAGGTGGGAGATCCGTGACCCTCTCTGCTCCTGTGCTCAGCCCTGCCGCAGGTTCAGCCCCTGAGCCCTCTCCGCAGAGCCCCCCACCCATCCCTGCGGTGTTGCAGCAGGGAGGAGGCACAGCTGTGGGAACTGAAGCCTGGAGCTGCACTCTCTGAGTTTGTGTCCTGGCCCCACTGGTTTTTTAGCTGTGTGACATTCCCGAGCCTCAGTTCCCTCATCCGTATTATGAAGATGAAACAAGATGAGGCTAAATATGGCTCCAGCATACAATAAACACTCAGCGCCTGTCACTGCAGGAGTGGTGCCTAACACGGCCGGTTTGCGAGAAATACATCTCCCCAGGCCCTGTTTCCAGCCCCTGTTGCACTGGATGGTGAACACAGTGTGAGTCAGCTGGGATTGCCCCCTCCTTTCTCCCATAGTGGAGGCCAAGTTGGAGGGAGTATGAGATGCTAAGACTTGAGAGGGAAGGCCCGTTGGGTCCTTAGCCACCTATTTACAATCCACCTGGCCCTCTCAGCTCCAGGGGCCCTCAATTCAAGTAGCAGGGGGGTAGCTCACCCAGGTCCTTCCTTTCTGGCTGGGTTGGGGGTTTCTGTACATAAGGGCCTCATTACACAACTGTTCCCTGTCAGGGTCCTGGGCTGCCCAGGTCCTTCCCAGAAAGCAGGGAGTGGGACCTCGGTCACCAGGAGTCTAGATTCTCTCTACTTTCCTGCGTGGTGAGCAAAGGAGATCCCTTGTGGTCTCAGGGAACGCCCACCCCCTTCAAACCCCGCATCTCCTTCCATTTTGTCTCAGCCCTGAGTCTCCTCTGTTCCTCTGAAGGTTTGGATATTTTCGGTGTTCTACCCTTTCAAATCTCTCCCCTAAGGCTAGGAGCCTAGGCTGCTTTGCCGCTGGACTGGGGCTTTGGTGGGTGGGAGGGAGGGCAAAAGGAGAAATACCGGATGGGGGAGGCCTATTAGATAATATAGCAAAAAAAAAATTTTAGGGCAGGTGTCATCATGTTTTTACTAGTTCAGACCTGACCGTCTTTTGCCTGTGCTGCTACTGAAGGCGCTCCGTCGGTCTCTGCCCCTAGCCTCACCCTGCTCCAAGCCCCTGCTGCAAAAGGAGTCCTTGTAACATACAAACCTGGCCTTGACCTACGTGGAACGTGTCCTTCGGCTTGTGGCTGCTCCTCAGCCGGCTGCTGCCACTGGCCGTGCCCCTCCAGGCTCTCTTCCCGCCTCTCCCTGACTGAGCTCTGTCTGTCTGTACAACTGCACTGATTTTCATTTCCTGAACTCCCTCCTTGCTCTCACACATGCTCTTTTGCTGACTGAAATGCCTCTCTCCTTCAGGCTGA